CCCCCCCCCGCCCCTCCCTACTCCCTTAAAGGGGGCTAAGCGGGGGTGGCTGGGCAACCTGGTTCAGAGTAGAGGAGGCCCATCCTTGCCCTCCAGCCCAGCCCTGTTGCCTTCCCCTTTCCCCCTTGTCCAGAACTGAAGTTTGGGGCCATCACCGTCAACAGCATGGATGCTACCAGTGAGCGAGACTTTGTGGGTGAGTCCTGGGGCCAGCCTGCTCTTCCCCTGCATTGGGCCCAATCTTTGTCCCCCAGTCCTAGATCCTCTCCAGCCTCCTCCCACCCTCAATATGGTCCACGGGGAGCTTCTCCGGGCGGGATGAAGAGCAAGAGAGGCCTGGTGACCAGAGAGCATGCTTTCCCTTCCCTCCCACAAGCTGAGTTCCTGTTCTGGGCTTCGCTGTGCATGACCCACCTCAGCAGGATGGCTGAGGACCTCATCCTCTACGGCACCAAGGAATTCAGCTTTGTGCAACTCTCCGACGCCTACAGGTAGGGCTCACTCCGCCTCGCCCCAGCTCTGCTCCCACCAGCATGGCTTCCTTCCTCCACCCCAATCAGCAGACCAGCCACGGGGCAGAGGAGCCCCTTCAGCCCCAGCATCTCTGTCCCCAGCACCGGAAGCAGCCTGATGCCCCAGAAGAAAAACCCAGACAGCCTGGAGCTGATCCGCAGCAAGGCGGGGCGAGTGTTTGGACGGGTGAGAAGGGCAGGGACTGGGGCAAGGCCTCTGGCTGACCCAAAGAAAGGGTCCTGAGAAGCATCCAGGATGGGCACTGAGGTCCAGTCTCCTGATCCTCACTCTACCCTCAGTGCGCTGGGCTCCTGATGACCCTCAAGGGACTTCCGAGCACCTACAACAAGGACTTACAGGTGCGAGGCTGTGGATGGGGAAGGAGGAACCCACGTGCATATATACCACATTCCAGTTCTCAGAGCCCTGGAACTTCCAGGCAGGGGCCCCACAGAATTGCCAGCTTCCGTCCTGTGCACCTAGACCTTCACCACCCTGAGAGCTCTCTCCTCTCTCGGTGTGGGGTGTGGGAGGTGCTGAGTGTTCCTAGTGGAAAGCAATGGGGATGCCTCAGTGGGAGACAGGGCTGCTGAGCCCTCACCTCCTGCCATGTGCCTTCCAGGAGGACAAGGAAGCCGTGTTTGAAGTGTCAGACACCATGAGTGCCGTCCTCCAGGTGGCCACCGGCGTCATCTCCACGTTGCAGGCAAGACATGCCTCTTCTCCCCTGGGCCTCTAGACTCTGGGAGGGGCATGCCTAGAGGGTGGCTTTGAGAGGAGGTAAGGGTGGGTGGTCCAGAAGACTTGGGGCAGGGGGAAGGGGGCATGTGCTTGCTCCTGCCCTTGAGGAACAGTGAAGGGACAAAACTTACGGAAGTGGGTTAGACTCAAGGAGTCCCATCACCTGGCCTGACCAAACTTCATTCTGAGTCATTTTATGGTCGGAAATTTCAGTATACAACAGTTGAGGAAATGTGTAAGGAACCCCTAGGTACCAACACCCGGCTTCAGCAATAATCACCTCGTGGCCATTCTTGCTTTGGCAGCTGTCTTCACCTACTCCCCTCCCCCCTTATTTTGAACCAAATCCCCATCTTCATATCATTTCATTCCTAAATGGTTCAGGATGTGTCTCTAAGGCAGTGGTTCTAGCACCAGCAGCATCAGCAACACCTGGGAACTTGATAGACATGCAATCCTACACCTCACTCCAGACACACCGAGTCGGAGGCCCCGGGGGTAGGGCCCAGCAATTTGTATTTGTAGTAAATCTGCCAGGTGGTTTTGATGCACACAAAATATAAAGACCCTGAAAATGTAAAGGCAACCCCTGAAGCACACCTAAAAATTATCAATAATTATGAAAAGATGGCTCGAGTAGAGAGCAGAACAGAGTGGGTAAAAGTGGATCTGCCCAAGGCAGGAGACATCCTAATTGAGGGGTAAGCCTGGAGCTGGCAGCGTCAGGCCTTGGGGTTCCCAGGGGCCCCAGGACTCAGCACTCCCCATCTACGTCCCCAGATTCACCGTGAGAACATGGTGCGGGCTCTTAGTCCTGACATGCTGGCCACTGACCTCGCCTATTACCTGGTCCGCAAAGGGGTAAGTGTGGGGTGGCTGGAGTGGAGGGGTGAGGGGACTGGGATGCCCCCTTCTCCCCTCCAGGGATAGGGGTGGTTAGGGAGGGCACGGGCACCCATAGCAGAGCAGGGAGTGCAGGAACCCTGCGTCAGTGCTCTGCTCCGCTTGGCACCTGCAGATGCCATTCCGCCAGGCCCATGAGGCCTCTGGGAAAGCAGTGTTCATGGCTGAGACCAAGGGGGTCGCCCTCAACCAGCTGTCATTGAAGGAGCTACAGACCATCAGGTGTGGCCCACTCCCCTCCCTCTGTGGCCTCCCAGGGGACGAGCCCAGGCCCCTGAGGCTGGGGTGGCTGGGCTGCCCTAACCCATCTCCTTTTCCCCAGCCAACTGTTCTCGAGTGATGTGAGCCACGTGTGGGACTACGGGCACAGCGTGGAGCAATATGCCGCCCTGGGTGGCACCGCTCGCTCCAGTGTTGACTGGCAGATCGCCCAGGTGCGAGCACTGCTTCGGGCACAGCAGGCCTAGGTCCCCCAACTCTGCTCCCAAATAAAGTGGGTCCAAGAGGAGGCTGTTGTGTTTCCTGCTTGACCTGACTCCCTTTTCCGTGGGCTTTCTGGGGTCTGTTGAGAGGTCATCAAGGAAGTGGAGAAACTGGACAAGGATCGCGAGTCACGGGTGGGGGGATTGCATCTCATCAGAGCCTTTGCCCTGCTCAGACCCCATTCCCTTCCACTGTGGAGCATCACAGTGACCTCCTGCCTTAGGTGTCTTGGCAGAACTGGCCTCCCTGGAGCTCTGGTGGGACCTGATGGGCTTGGCTAACCCAGTCAGTCAGTCTCTGTCTATCCTTTTCTTCCCGTGTCCCCTAAGCTCCCCTATTTCCACTCTCCCCTTTTTAACCCACCCTTCCCTGGATCATTGGGCACATTTACAAGTGTCACTGCCCTCCTGAGGGGAATGGGATATTTGGTGTGTGATGCCTGGACTAGGTCAACTTCATACACAGGTTAAATAGACACCTCCAATGGGGCAAAGACGGTCTAGTCAATAAATGGTGTTGGGAAAACTGGACAGATACAAGCAAAAAAAAATAACACTAAACCACCTTCTTACAGCATATACAGGAATAATCTCAAAATGGATTAAAGATGTAAATGTAAGACCTGAAACCATCAAACTCTGACATTGCTCTTACTAATATTTTTTCTGATATATCTCCTTGGTCAAGGGAAACAAAAGAAAAAAATAAATAAATGGGAGTACATCAAACTAAAAAGGTTTTCACAGCAAAAGAAACCATCAACTAAACAAAAAGACAGCCTACTGAATGGGAGAATATACTTGCCAATGACACATTTGATAAGGGGTGAACTGAAATGGGGGGGACACTCTTCAACCCACTACACTGGGCTTTCAGATTCCTTTACCAACATTTGTTCCATTTCTAATCTGAAGGTCATTCTCCCAGACAGACGCAATGGGAATAGAATGCTGCAGGCAGCTCGTCACTGTTCTTGTTCCAAACCCAACTTCAGAAACTTGTGTTACCATTTTAGCTTTTTGTGTGTTTCCTCTCCGGCCCTCTTACGACAAGCCAGGTTTCCATTTGGCACTGGGCCTTCATTTCTGCTTTCTTTCTACTCTAGCTTAGCCAGAAAATTCCTCCCCACCACCTGAACTCACTTGAAATTGTCCAAGGAGAATTTGGGTTTTGAAATTTCCAGAGCTGCCATCTTCCTTAGAGCATCTACTTAATTCATTCCATGCGTTGACACTGCAACAGCTGTTCACTTGTGGGTCATGTCCTAGAGTTGTATGATCCCCCCCCCCAATATTTGAGACAAAGCGTTGTCATTTTTGCTGGGGAAAGGGACTATTGTGAAAGTAGGGGTCTGGTTCACCTCTAAATGCGAAGTCAAAAGGAGTGGATCGATTTGACAAGCTCCCTCCTTAGGGTCAAACCCAAAGCAGAGCTTCCATGTGGCGCCTTAGCAGATACCTGCTCTGTGGCTGACCTTGCAGAATACCCTCTATCTGAAGTGCCTGTGACTCCCTAGGCAGGCTCCAGAGCTGGCCTGGCCTATTGACCATGCCTCATCTTTAGCCCTTGCTCCAATAACTGCTCCCTCCTCTAGCAGATGGGACATTCGTCTCTTTTCTTCACTCTTGCCCTTTTGAATGACCTCTGGGGTGTCCTCAGGCATCTTTCCTACTGGCGGGGCAGTCCTGCAGTCTGGAAATGGGGCAGGAGAGGCAGCCCTGATCCATCCATCTCCCAGACTTTTGCACCTCAAAGGTGAGCTCAGACACCAGTGCAGGCAGGGCTGGAGATCAGGGGCCTGGATGGTAAGACCTCCAACAAAAGTTCCCAATGCCCTAATTCCCTCTGTGGTTCTTTTCCCTCCTTTTCATTTTGTTCCCTTTGGAGAAATTGAGCCTCTGGGTTTCTCTTTGGGGAGGGAAGGTAAAATTTACCCTGGACTTGCTAATCTCAGCAGAGAAAGTCAGAGCTGAAAACACGGATTCCAATTAGCTGAGGCACAAAGCAGAACTGCAATGTAAACACTCAATTTCAAAACATTTAAGAGGTAACTGGCCACATACCACTTTATTTATGCAAAACATCCATAATAGCCAAATCTATGGAGACAGAGAGTAGATCAGTGCTCGCTTAGGGCTGGGTGTGAGGGATAGAAGGATAGGTAGCCAAAGGGTACAGTTTCTTGATAGGAGGTGATGAAAATGTTCTAAAATGGTCGGTAATGTTGAATTGTACACCTTAAACGACGAATTGTATCTTAAGAAATAAACATTAGGGCTCTCTCTCTTCTGATGCATCTACTTTGAGAATGAAGCCCATTTTCAGCAACCAGACTGTCAACATCCCAGAAAATGTGAACACTCTGAAGGGATGCACAATTAGTGTGAGGGGCCCCAGAGGAATTCTGCAGGGGGCTTCATCAGTGTAGAACTCAGCCTCCCAGTTAATAAAAGGAAGAGACTCCGAGTTGACATTCAGTGGAGGAGAAAGACACTGGCTATAGTTCACACGGTCTGTGGTTAAATGCGGCGTGTGGTCAAGGGTGTTCCGCTGGGCTGGCATTACAGGCTCACTTCCCCATCAACATCTGTGCTCAGGAGAGTGGGGCTCTTGTTGAAATCTGACACTTTTTGTATGAAAACTGTTATCTGTACTGTTCATATGAAGCCAGGCATTGCTTGTTCCATATCTCAAGCCCTGAAAGTTACTGGCATTGAACTTGTATCAAATTCAACTGCTTTGATTCAGCAAGCCACAACAGTTAAACACAAGGATGTCATGAAAATGGGGACATCTGTAATAGTGTCAACAGTAAAAATAAAGTTAAAAAGACACACAAGGATATCAGGAAAATGTTAGATGTTATCTATGTCTCTGAAAAAGGGACCGTTCAGTGAGCTGATGAATAAGGGTTGTCTAGCTACGAAAACAAGAAGATGGCAGATGATTCTCAAAACCTATCTGCGATATTTTTTAAATGCAATAAAATTTGTCTATGCGGGGGCATGTAAGAGGAAGTCTTAACCTCATCTTCTGGTCAGCTGAGTGTCCTGTGACTTTGCTCATGGCAGTGACCCTCCCATCTTTGCAGGGACATTTTGTGTTGCTGCATCCCACCACCAGGGGGAGCAGATTCTATTATTTCCTGTCCTAGACATCAGAAGGGCCTTCGAATGCAGGGTAATTTGGGGAAAGGAGTGGATGTGCCATCAACAGTGGTAAATGTAGTTTTGAGTGTGTTACCTTGGGTACGTCACTCTACCTCTCTGAGCCTCAATTTCCTCATGTGTAACAGAGGAAGAGGAACTCCATTTGATAGTGTTTTGGAGCTGTAAGAATCCCTTAGTAGATGCCAGCTCATGTAGGCTGCTGTTATTGTCGTCAAGCAGTAGAAATCCAGTGCCCCAGGTCACCTTTACACAGTGATAGCCTGTGTGCTCTCACTTGGGGGTCAGGGCCCATACTATTGTGTTTAGGGAGCAAGGAGGAGGGTTCGTTGCCAGAGACTCATCACTTGACTAAGGCCGGACAGCCAGGCCTCTGGTTCAGGCCCCTGACTACAAATGCTGGAATAGCTGCTGTCCCGGGAGGCTGGAGAAGGGAGAGTTTCCTTCCGACAAGGCACAGAGGAGCTGGCGTCTGGGCCAAGCTTAGAAAGATGGCTCAGAGAAGAGGACAAGCCTGGGAAGATATTTCTGGACCCAAGAAGCAGATGTTCACTGAAAAGTACGCTGAGATATGGGGGAGAAGTACAGAAAAGTAGCTTAAGACAGATTTATGTTAACTTAAGAATGTCCAAACCTGTAGAGAATTTGAACCAAAACTGATGACAATTGCCAGATCTTTCTCAAATGCTCCGGAGAGTGACAATTTTACAGTTTCTTCTACGCATTTGAAATTAAGGAGGGAATGTAGGGAAGATTACTTGAAGGTGGGAGAAAGCAAGATGGGGATTGGATGACAGGATAGTTAAGATTAAGTGCTCTCTTGAGGGTGGTTATACTTAATTCAAAGGTGTGTTAACCTAGGTGCACAAAAACAATGGAAAGGGCTTGCCTAAGGCAAAGATAAACCTTTTACTCAAAGTACGGGCCTGGGACTACAAGGAGGTATTCATACCTGTCAGAATGGCTGCCATCAACAAATCAAGTGCTGGCGAGGGTGTGGAGAAAGGGGAACCCTGGTACACTGCTGTGGAAATGCATATTGGTGCAGCCACTACGGAAAACAGTGTGGAGATTCCTCAAAAAATTAAAAATGGAACTGCCATTTGACCCAGTGATCCGACTTCTAGGAATAGATCCTAAGAATCCCGAAGCACCAGTCAGAATAGATGTGCCCCTATGTTCATAGCAGCTCAATTTACAGTAGCTGAGATCTGGAAACAGCCCAAGTGCCCATCAGTAGATGAGTGGATAAAAAAGCCGTGGGACATTTACACCATGGAATACTATGCAGCTGTAAAGAAGAAGAATCTCTTACCCTTTGAGACAGCATGGTGGTACCTGGAGAGTATCACGCTAAGTGAAATAAGCCAGTCAGAGAAAGACAAATATGGCATGATCTCACTCATATGTGGAGTCTCATGAACAAAATAAACTGATGAACAAAACAGATCCAGAGACGCAGAAGCGTGGAACAGACTGAGGGATCTCAGAGGGAAGGCGGGGAGTGGGGACTGGGTGGGGAGAGATTAATCAAAGAGCTTTTATGCTTATATGTGTACAGACATTGGTATGGGGAAGGCCTGGGGGGAGGGGTACAGGGTAGAGGGGATCAATGGGGGGGAAAGGGGACATCTGTAATACTTTCAACAATAATTTTTTTTAAAAAGTTACATGCCCGGGGTGTGACAGCCCACCATGATAGCCCAGTTAGGAATTTATGATTGGATCACCTTGTGAGGTTACTTTCCATTTTTCATCCACATTTTAGAGTCAAGGCTCACACTTGAGCATAAGGTCAGGAGCCACCTGAGGAATGTACGTTGCAGCACTGATTGTAAATGTGAAAAATGGAGATGTT